ATGAGGTCTGGCGTTGTCGTGGTGGAAGACAACACCCTTGCGATTTGCCAATTCTGGACGTTTTGTGCGGATTACTTGGTTCAATTTCGCCAATTGCGAACAGTATACAGTTGAATCAATCATTTTGCCTGATGGTAACAGTTCGTAATAGATGATACTCTTGAAATCTCATCATACGGAGAGCATTATTTTCTTCAGATGCAATCCCGCCTTCGAAGTTGTTTGCGGTGGCTCGCTGCTATACCCCCATGATTTTTTACGCATTACATTATCGTAGACGATCCATTTTTTGTCACCCGTCACCATTCATTTCAAAAATTGGTCGTTTTCTTGGCGTTTCCATAGCGAATCGTAGATGGATATGCGTGTGGTCAAGTTAGCCTCGGTTAATTGCCGCGTCACTCAAACATTAAGTCGAGAAACATATCCCAGCTGGCGCAAATGCTTTTCTATGCTTATGTGGGATATATTCAATGTCGTAGCAATTTTTCGTACCGATTGGGATGGATTTACTTCGATTATAGCCTTAATGTTATTTGAATTAATCTCGATCGGGCGACCGGAACGGGGCGCATCATTGACGTCGAAATCTCCAAAATGGAAATTGGCATAACACTTTTGGCATACGCGTTCTGTTAAGGCATCGTCTCCATATACACGCATATCTTTTTATGAGCATCCGCAGCTCGCTTGCCTTTTTTAAAATAATGGAGCAAAATATGACGATAATGCACGTTATTTATGAGTTTTACGTATTTCCATGTTCACAGCTACGCAGCACACACAATACTGATGTTAGTCAAACCAAACACAGCACAACATAAACAGTGAAACATAACCTTTCAAATGTGTATTCGATTTGCACGATGGCGCTGAAAGAAAAGCGAATCCGCATGAAACTTACACTGAAACAAAAACTGAATGAACTTATTTGCCAACCCAATAGAAGTTTATGGTAATAATGCTTCTTCCGATAAAACATGCAGAGAATGGTTTCGACGCTTTAAAAATGGTGATTTTGATGTAGAGGACAAAGAGCGTTCTGGACGGCTAAGAGTATTCGAAGACGAAGAATTAGAGACATTAGTGGACGAAAACCCATGTCAAACGCAAAAGCAACTTGCAAAAGCATTAAATTGTGCTCAATCTGTCATTTCCGATCGTTTGAAAGCCTTAGGAAAGGTTAACAAGGAAGGAAAATGGGTCCCATATGAACTGAAGCCAAGAGACATTGAAAGGCGAAAAACCATCTGCGAAATTCTGCTTACTAGGCAACAAAGAAAGGAGTTTTTACATCGTATCATCACTAAAAAATGGGATGAAAAATGAATTTATTTTGACAACCCCAAACGTCGAAAAACTATTTGCGATCCCGGTCAACCCTCAACATCGACGCCAAAGCGGAATATCCACTGAAAGAAGGCAATGCTCTGTATTTGGTGGGATCAGAAGGGTGTGCTGTACCATGAGCTGTTGAAAAGTGGTCAAACAGTCACAGGGAATCTCTACAGAGAACAAATGATCCGTTTGAGCCGAGCATTCCAGCTCCAGAAAAGCGACTAGAATATGAAACGAGACAGCATAAAATGATTTTGCTTCATGACAACGCTCGGCTTCACGTCACAAAATCTGTCAAGGAATCATTAGAAGCACTTTGCTAGGAAGTGTTACCCCATGCGGCTTATTCACCAGACTGTGCCCTTTCCGACTACCACTTGTTTCAGCCGATGGCACACGCACTTGCTGACGAATACTTCAATTCTTATGAAGACGTCGAAAAATAGATCTCTGACTGGATAGTCTCCAAAGATGAGTCATTCTTTCGCCGCGGAATTCGCATGCTGACCCAAAGATCGAAAAAAGTCATCGTTAACGATGAATAATATTTTGAATGATGTACTTTTTTATTTTATTTCTTAAATAAAACCATACGCTTTGCAAAAAACGGACAGAACTTTCTGATTGACCTAATAAATGCGGACAGTAATATAGTTGTCACGTAGTGCACTACAGTGCACTGTATTCGCCGTTCTTCTCACCTCTCCCTTCTTCTTTCATATCATGCTCTAGGTATCGATAAACAAAATTCACGCGCCCACGCGAGCATCGCATTCATCGCGCGCGTTTGCACGTGCACGTTCAGGTGTGCTTGAACGCGCTCATGTTCATCTGTGGTCTACCTGCTCTCCGCCTACTCGCAGCAGCGGCTACACGCGCGTGTACTGAGAAATAGTCACACCGACATTATCTGGAGATATCGTACGTTGTCGTATTACAATTACAACGCAACACGAGCTCACAAATATAATTCAGGCTTGGAAAATAACGCTTTGCGTATAATGCCGTTACCGTTGCGAATTACTTTTCCTCGTATAGAAGAAAAACTGACCACTATAGTGGTCTGAGAACCTATAGTAGCATAGAACACAGATATAGCAGTATGATGAAAAAAAATAATTTTTCTCGATAAATTCGCTTTTCTCGTGATGCGCCCTTAAAAAAAATTATTATAAACGTTCCAATTAATTAAATCAATATTACTTATAGTTAACTGTAAATAATTTATAATTAACTATAACTAACTTTAGATAACTATAAGTAACTTTAAGTTAATTTGAACATCTTAAAGTAATTTTTCCTAAGGGCGTTGAGAAAAAATAGTTAATTTTCTTTTTACATGATTGAATATCAAAGGAGTCTTTAATTATTTGTTTATTTATTGCCATAGGCGGCGCCAAGAGTGGTCCTAGATGGGCCCTGGCCCACCTAAATATATGCTGTCTTATCCTTTGGCCCATTCTAAAATTTTAGACAATTTTAGCATAATTATGCTGTCTTATTTTGTCCAAGTTTTTTGCTTTTTTATATAAAGTTATTTTTATAATTAAAATTCTACAATTAATTTTAAATTATATCTTCATAGTTAATTTCTCTCAGAGACAAAACGTTAACGGTTAGAAACATTAAAATGAATAATAAAATTATATATAATATATAATAAATATGCCCATTCATATAAACGGTGGTCCACCCGTATGAATAGTTCTAGGCACCGCCTAGTTTATTGCTTATTCTTTTTCCAATAATTCTTTGATAATGATGTTATGTTTCTCATTAATAATGGTAACAGCGCGATTGTGTTTGTTTGGATAACGGTAATGCGGGTGTAATCGTTACTTTTAACGTTACTTTGTACACATTTGGGCAGATATGAACCCCAAAAAGAAGTTTCTCGAAATTCGGTGAGAAAAGGTAATGAAATTATAAAGTTTTGTTACATAGAAAATAAGGTACGGAGGGATGAATGAGATTAAGCAGTATTTTTTTGTAAACCAAGTCTCTGTTCTTGGCGAGAAACTAAGACGAATAAATATACATTACTTATAAAGCTTTGTTGGTCCTTGAGTAACAATTACGCTAACGAGTTACTTTTTTATGAGTGATGAGTACAATCTTATCAAAACTGAAGTTTGCGAGTACAATCATCAAGATAAAAATAATCAACAACGAAGGAAGAATATCGAACGATAATTAAGCGATTATCGATGGCACAAGCAACTTATCAGGGACAAGAGATCTGTGGCAACTGAGGACGGAAGACATTATATCCGAGGAGAAATGTATCCCGGCTGCCCGATACTTCACTAAAGTATCACTGACTCGATATCATCGAAGGGGCAAGATACCTGTATCTCAATATTGTTGAAAGTGCATTGCTGGCGCTATGTCACCGAACGCGACATATCTCAATACGCCAAACACGAGATCCTTAACCCTCTATAACGCCATGTAACTTTGAGGTTATATATATATTGATATATCGATATTCTTAAATTACATAAGGCATTTAAAAAACGGTTCACACACACAACACACACAGAACTTTAAGGGTAGACAATATTCACAAAATAGAGGAAAAAAGTCTTAATAAACATATTATAATCCCAAAAATTAATATCGTCAAAATTATGAACAATTATTTATTTTAATTGTAGCAAGTGACTTACTCACTTCTAGTGTTTTTATATTCTCTAGCGTAATTTGTCTATGTCATTTATCGGTGAGAAGTACTATTCTTTAAAAGAATCCCTACTCTAAAAAATCCATCTTTCACGGAAAAACCTATTTAGGTGTTAGATAAATTACGAGTAGGTTACTTGCCGTAATTAAAAGAGATAATTGTTCATAACTTTGACAATATTAATCTTTCGACCCATGTTTACACAAACTTTTTTCCTCTATTTTGTGAATACTATTTGCCCTTAAAGCCCTGAGCCCTTTTTTTAAAACACCTTGTATATGCATACATGGATATTGTAGCCCATTATACCACTCCAAAATCACGAACCGTTTTTTTTCAGATTAAAATTTTTAAAAATTATGAATTAATTGTTAATTTACATCTGGAGCTTAAGATTTGCTGGTTTCACATTACGTAATTTTTTGATACTCACGAAAAAATCGAGTTATAGAGGGTTAATGATATTCTGATAATATCTACTACGACGAGAGGTGTATCAGTAGCACGGCAACACCGTTGATAACGAAATCGTTATCCCGATACCGTTGAGACTATCTCGTTTGCCATCGAAAGCGAGATGATGTCGCTGCCTGGTCATCTCTCAGGAGATCGTTAGCATGAGAAAACACCGTTAGCATAAAACTAAATAGCCCTGCTTTACATACTCGCCCTCGCGAGTAGGGCTCTCGCGCTCTCCGTTTCGTCGAGAACGCGCGCGCGGCCGTTCTAGTTCGCCTGCCCGCCTGCTTCGCCAAGAGCGGCCGCGAGGAAAGCGGCGGAGGAGGAGGAACAGGAGGAGGAGAAGGAGGAGGAGGAGGAGGAGGAGGAGGAGGAGGAGGAGGAGGAGGAGGAGGAGGAGGAGGAGGAGGAGGAGGAGGAGAAGGAGGAGGAGGAGGAGGAGGAGGAGGAGGAGGAGGAGGAGGAGGAGGCGGCGGCGGCGGCGGCGGCGGCGGCGGCAGCGATCTTCGTGTCGGGAGGGCCTTTCGTACTCCCGCGCTATGTTCGGAGCACGCATTGCGTTCTCGGTCTCTTCCGTGCCGGAGTCCCCTCGCGAGTAGGAGCCACGTCGGGCTACAGTAGTGGTTGCCGCCGCGCGGTAACAGGACGGGGCAATCGCGACACGGCGTGGTGCGTTTCGCTTCCTTTTTCCTCTCTTGCCGAGCCGGCGCAACCACCCGCGCGTGTCTTCGTCTGCGAGCGCGGCTGCCGACGACGACGAAAAGGCGCTCGCTCCTGTCTCTTCGCGTGACTCCGAGGTCCGTCTGGTCTATCCGGTCCGCCCGGGCTCACGCTTGTCGACTCGAGGATCACCTGAAAGCGCCTGGCGCAGCGGTGAAAGTAGCCGGGAGTGCGTGCATACGTGCCCCGGTGCTGTGCTCCGTCCGTTCGTCCGTTGTACGTGCGTGCGTGCGTGCGCGCGCGCGCGCGCGCGCGTCCGATGAACTCCACGTGGTGCTGTGGCGCGACGTAAGAATCCCTTCGCTCTTCTCCACTGAGTCTTCTTTTCCCTGAGCGCGTCGAGTCGACCGGTCGGCGACAGAGACATGAGGCCGCTCGTGGGTCTGGTGCTCATGGCCGAGCTGTTGCCGCTGCTGATCCCGCTGCTCCTCCTGGCGGCGGAGCCCTCCGAGGCCCTCGAGAGGACGGCCGAGTGTCCCCAGAGATGCGTATGCTTCCGCGACCTGCTCACTGTGCGGTGTATACTGCTGAAGCTGAACCGAGTGCCGCGGGTGGCCGATAACACCACCGTCCTGTAAGTTGCCTCTCTGTGGAGCAGCCGCGGTCATTCCTTGTATTTTATTGCAAAGATTCTTTATATCGGGAGCGCCACGACGTGCCTGTCACTTGCAGCGGCTGACGGAAGTTGTCGCGAATGAAATCTCCGCTTAGAGCATCGCGTGTGTGGCACATTGCACTTTTGTTCCAACGAACATGCTCAATGAACAATCCAGGTCGCCTTGACCGTAAGATGTGAACGTACGCGAGGAAAGTTTTCGTTGAATAATACACGCCATTCTATATCGCGCAACTGATATATATTCACACCGGAAAGCCTAAGTAAATCACAGGATTGGAAAAGTTACTTTGTAAGAGTATCTAGTTACAATTACAATTTTTTTTCACTGAAACAGTAACTAGTTACAAGTTACTGACCTTCAAAAATAACATGTTACAGTTATAGTTATTTAGAAAGTAACGAGTCGCTATTTTTCAGTTACTTTTTTACAATAATTGTGCTATTATTCTAAATTTCATAATTGTGTAAATTCTTTCAATTTTATGTAAAAGTAGTTTGTTAATTATTATATTCCTCATATTGTATTGGGTGAGTGCAAAAGTTCGTGCGGAGTTTGTGAGTAAAAGTCACACAGTGATTAGGCAAACAAAAATCTTTATTCAATCAATGATATATTCTCCATCGTTTTCTATAATCTTTTCCCAACGTTCTGGCAGCATACGGATGCCTCGATCATAAAAACTGCGCGGTTTAGATTCGAAGAACGAAGAGACGCCGTTTTTTAAGGCCTCCAAAGAGTCAAAATTTTTTCCATTTAAATAATTTTGCAATGACCGGAACAAGTGATAATCAGATGGTGCGATATCAGGGGAATACGGTAGATGCGTTAAGACATCCCATTTCAGGCTCTTCAGTTTGCGCAGCCTCTTTTTCGAAACGTGTGGTCTGGCGTTGTCGTGATGAAAGACGACTCCCTTGCGATTTGACAAAATCGGACGTTTCTCTTTTATTTCTCGATTCAGATTGGTTAATTGGCGACAGTACTTGTCCGAATCAATCGTTTCGCCAGCGGGGAGAAGCTCGAAATAGATTATGCCCTTGCAATCCCACCAAACAGAGAGCATCACCTTCATCGGGTGCAAACTGGCCTTTGGCATTGCGTCACCATGCTCACCTGATTGTTTCCATGTCCGTTTGCGCTGAACATTGTTGTAGAGGACCCATTTCTCATCGCCCGTCACTAGTCGATCCAAAAACGACTCGTTATTGAGCCGCCCGAGTAAAGAAACGGCTGCAGAAATTCGCTTGATTTTGTTCTTCTCGGTCAGCAAATAGGGCACCCATATATCGAGCTTCAAATCGAATCCCATCTTTTTTAAACGCCGAAAAGCGGTTGATCGGTCAACGTTTAGTGCTGTAGCAACTTCTTCTGTTGAAATTCGCGGATTATTGAGCACTAAAGTACGCAAAACATCGTCATCAATGTCAGAAAGTCGACCAGAGCGTGGCTCGTCTTCAAGGTTAAATTCTCCGCGCCGAAATTTAGCAAACCATTTTTCCACAGTTCGTTTAGCTGGTGCTTCATCCTGATAAACATCCTGAATGTTTTTTACGGCTGCGGCAACGTTTATTCCCTTCCGAAACTCGTAAAGCATAACATGCCGTAAATGCACCTTATCGATACTCATTTTTAAAGTGATATTTCTCGAAGCAGTTTGTATGAAAACAAATGATTTTTTTTTTTAATAACAGCTGAAGACATCACCTTTCCAACGTTATATAATATGTAGATGGAAGTATTAATGACAACACTTTACGACGCTTATAACTCCATCTATTGAAACTCCGCACGAACTTTTGCACTCACCCAATATATAATTGTTACAAATTGGATTCATTAATTTAAATAAGCAATTCATATTTATTCTTTAAGACTATTAATAACGATTATATGAAAGTGAATGAATTTGATGAGGATAATAAATGCTAAAAATACTAAAAATAATCTTAACATCAAAAATTAAATTTTTCACTAAAAAATATATTGATATTTTATAAATAAAGACTTGCACTCACATGTGTTTTCTTAAATTTGCAGTCGAAGTTCTACTTGCATGAATAATTCTTTTGCCAGCACAAATTTTGCAGAGAAATGCCCAGCTGTTTTCGTTTCCAAACTTTTGCTGTAACTCGAATATTTCTGTATATGTTGGTCATGGCATTTTACAATTCTTCTCCGAAAATTGAGATGTTTTATCCATTGCTTGAATTTTTTATGTAACAACAGAAACTACGCAGCGCACTTCACGCTGAACGCAGGTTAGGTCAACAAATAAGGATTGGCGATGCGTAACGAAAATGTCCAATAGGCGTACAATTTTATTGATTCTTGTTTTATATCTAATGATAAAGATAGATGACGCAATAGCAAACGTTTTCCAAATGCAGCCAGAATAATTGTATGCTTATTGGATATCAAGCATCATACGTTGCCTTATTGTGCTGGTCTGCCAGAAACTTCAGTTTGAAATATATAAAGTAACTATTAAAGTAATTATTAAATTAGTTACTAGTTACCAAACAAATGTAACTAAGTTAAGTTATAGTTATAGATGAAAAAAAGGAACGAAGTTAAGTTATATTTACCAAAAAAAGAAATTGTAATTGTAACTTAGTTACAAGTAATGAGTTACCTCCCAACCCTGGTCATGCGTATGTCACAACAATTAATTAATAGTTCACTCGGATGTCTTTTTAACACTTTAAATGCGATCGACGGGATATTCCGTGGTTGCTTTTACAACGCTCCTTTGCAACAGAAAATTCCGTTTTTGTTTCGTCTAGCTTCTTTCTATTTTTTTTTAATGCCTCCACAATTGGAAGATTGTCAATTTCAGACTAAAAACGGTCATCATCAATCTGTGAAACAGATTCATCATCAGAATCTGAAGAATTGTAATCGTTAAAATAAACGCAAAATATATATTATATGTATAAAATATATTCCCACGTTACCTTTAAATGTTTTGTATATTCTAGTTCGGATAAGCTGGTTAAGTTATTCTCGTAATGTATGAACGCCAATACATGCTTCTAGAAAAAAAAATCTGTGTATAATCGAGGAAGCGAAAAACATTTTTGCAGTTTCTCCAGATCGTTCGAAAGTTTGAAGTTCACACATGATAAAAGAGTGCGACAACTGATGCGCGACAGATAACCAACTCTGACGATATTGCCGAACGGAGATTAGTGATAAAAAGATCGAGAGAAAGCGCGTTAAGATTCACGTTCGCTTACGGGAAAGATACTAATCAAGACATATGATCATCCCACTTAAGAAGATCGAGCCTGACACAGCGCTTTCTCACGTGCGGAGGATGCATTGTACGTTCTGCGCACCGCTTCTCACGAGCAGGATTAACAATCGCGTTCTTCTAACACCAGGAATTTGCCTCGTGGAGCAGTTGATAATCGGCTGCGTGATCAGTCGCACAGCAATTACTTACAACTGAAGCGCAAAGTGTTGACTCGGAGATAAATGAACTATTTGACAAAATTCGAATTTTTACGCGGAGAGACCATTTTTATTGGATAATAGCGTATACCATGTCCTCTAAGTGAGATATATTCAAATTAAAGGCGAATTTTACATATTATGGCAATGAAATAACAATTTGTCCCAATATCTTAACTTTAATTATCTTAGCAACATGAAAATTTATACCGTCACTATTTATATTTAATTTATTTATAAAAAAATGTTATATTATATTATTTATAATACAACATTTTGTATATTATTTTATATTATTTATATCTTCATAAATAACATGAAAATTTATTTATACTTATTTATATAAAATAGTCCCCCGTACTATCTTTAAATGTTTTGTGTAATATGAGTAATTAATGTTAATTAATTAATAATATAGATGATAAATATTAATGAACCACATTGCGACAATTATAACAATCTGAAATTCATACAATCGTGCGACGATAATTGGATCTAACTGCGAGTCAATTATTGATTTGGAGCGAGGAAGATCGGCAAAGCGAAAAGTTGCCGAACGCTTGGGACTATATATAAGTTACAGCGTCAGTGCGCTAAAGTGGTGGTTCAGAGATAGGAACAAAGGAGAATGGAGCAAAGCAATGAGATCTCTACGCATGCAAAGCCAGAAACACAGCCGATATTCCGAGAGCGAAATATCGCAATGTTCTGTGCATCACTCGAGTTATTTTACCGATGAGGAGACATCGTGCAAAACCGCGGACAAAGACAAAGTGACGAAACGGATATTGCGGCAAGTTAGTTTGCGATTCTGTGAGTCACAGGTCATGTTTTTTTGTTTCTTTTATGGCTGATAATTGCACTTATCACGGTGATAAGCGTAATTGCTCCTGCTTTGCCTAACGCAATGCATCATATCGCTATATCGCTATATTTATACATATGTTTTATGATTTTACTTTGTGCAAATCGCAACATTCCTCGTTACATAACTTATTTGTCTCGCAAGAACGATTTGAAAGCAAGTTGCATTCTACTATTATTAATTTCACCATTTGTACCATTTGTACCGTCCGAGTTGATATTGTTTCTCAGAAAAAATTATTTCGTTCACATAGAAAGCTAGCATATATAATTAACCATGACCCATTCCGTACACTACGATTACATGACACGGATCATTGTAATCTTAGAGCATATTGTGCGTGCATGACCCATTTAGACCCATATAATTATTTCTCATACGTTTCATTTCCTCAACTTCTCTCCTACATACACACACACACACAGGGTGATATCCACCTAAATCGAGCATCTTAAATTTCTCACTTATTTTTGACGATGCGAAAAATCTCTAAGGAATGCACCGTTCGAAGGAGTAATAATGACGGAAAAAATTTTTCTTTCAAGGTCATTTTTTCAAAGATTTAAAGATCAAAGTAATTTTTTTTATGGAACTACATATTTTTCTTTACATGCTTTTATAGCCAGCTTCGAGAGA